TTCATTTTTGGGATAGAGAGAGACAGAGCATGAACGGGGGAGGGGCAGAGAGAGAGGGAGACACAGAATCGGAAACAGGCTCCAGGCTCTGAGCCATCAGCCCAGAGCCTGACGCAGGGCTCGAACTCAAGGACCGCGAGATCGTGACCTGGCTGAAGTCGGATGCTTAACCGACTGCGCCACCCAGGCGCCCCAAGGGTGAGAGGTTTTCAACAGACGTGTATGGAACATCTCGTCTACCCCCAGAGACTCCTGGCCGAGTGGGGTGGGCATGCTCACGCATAAAGCACTTTCTTTGAGGCGTGTTCCTCACGAGGACTTCTCCCACATTAGACCTGCCACTTAGGGGCCATACGATCACCAGCCCCCACTCAGCAGATGAGGAAACCGAGGCTCAAAGAAATGAAGCAAAGCGTCCAAGGTCAAGACACTTGCCTGTGCACGGCTGGGGGGCTCTGATTGTTGGCCGTAAATCCGGGTGACTGCGGTGGCCTCCTGGCTTTGCGGGCGGAGTCTTTCTCTTTCTAATGTCACTCACGCAAGCACAGGGCCTCTGCACTGCCCGGTAAGGCAGCCACCAGCCGCACGGGGCTACTGAGCACTTGAGCTGCAGCTACTTCCAACTGAGACGTGCGGGAAGCGTCTAACACACGTCAGGTTTCGGAGCCTCGGGCGACAAACCGAGTACAAAAGATCTCAGGGATAATTTTTGTTGCTGTTGATTCTATGTTGACGTCATAGCAAATTAGATCGGGTTTAAGAGAAAATGATGCAAACTATTTTCACCTGTTCCTTTTTTTTTTCTTTTTTTCTCACCACTTTTTAAAAACGTGGCTACAGGAAAATCTGAAATTCTACGTGTGGCTCACATCCGTGCCTTGCACTCTCAGTTTTTGGACGGGACGGCTTGAGGCCAGGCACCCAGACGTTTGGCAACCAGGGTCTGTCATCTGAGGGAACTCCAAGGGATGGGACACACAACTCCGTGCCCACCTCCTTGCTGGGTGTTTGGATGCAAGTCTCTCCCTGTCTCGTGGCCCCTTTCCTAACCTGGACAGCGAGAGGCTTGAATGAGATAACACACAGAGCTTGATTTGGCCTGTTCCGTGTGTGGAGACAAGTGTTAAACATTTTTGAGGTACTCCCCACCTTTAGGTTTTGGATTTCGACTTCTCTAGCAAAACTGGAAGATATGGCCGTCCCAAACGCACGTGCAGCAGAGGGCCAGAGCTGAGTGGGGGGTGTAGCCTCAGTTTGCTACAGTCCCCACCGCTCCCTAATGGACCCCAGACCTGCTTTATTCGTTGACGTTTCCTGCCAGGCCCTGAAGGCTTCAGAACTTACCACTCCCAGACCTGTCATTTTTGTTTGTTTGTTTGTTTGTTTGTTTGTTTGTTTGTTTTCTGGTCTTTTGAGCCAGGATTCCACGGCCCCATGCTTTTTGTATGTCCTGGGACTTTTCTCCGATCTAAGAATTCCCCTTAACTTGTTCGGGTCCATTTCCCTTCCCAAGGGTGGGGTTTGGAGGTACAGTAGCTGTGCAAACAGAGCTGAAAGCATAAACTGAGGTCAGAAGTGGCCCCCGGAGGCCTTGTGTTTGTTGTGGTCTGGGGCCATCAGACCCGAGTAAGAACAAGGCGGCCTGGCATGAGGAAGTGTCTGCCCTTAGTTTGTAGGACAGTTTCCAGGTCGGACCAACAAGAGGCTGCCAGCTCACGGAGACTCTCTGCAGCTGCAGGTGGCATTGGCATTATCTCATCGGGTCCAGCGGGCCTGGGATTGGACGGTGCCCTGTGCACCAGGAAAGAAGAGAAGAAAAGGAGCCGTGTGCATTATAAGTAGAAGAAAAGGCCGTCGGCCTGAGGCAAACAGCATTGTCTGCATTTGTGCTGGGCCCCGGGGTGAGCTGGCCACAATCTGTAGCTGCTGGGCGAGCACAGGGGCAAGCAGATGGGCAAACACCTGTTCCCTTCTCCTCTTGTGCCTGGATGTTATGCAGCTGCTCCAGGAAGCCAGGGTTCAAATGAGGAAAGTTTGGCTTGTGGTCACTTGTGGGAGCCCCCGAGGGGGCAGCTGGGGTTAAAACTCAGAGGAGAGGAAAGGTCAGGGTTGACGACCCAGTCACACCAGTTTTCCTCTGGGCAGATGGTGGACAAGTGTATGCTTTCACTCTGCCCTTCTTAGTGGGTTACCATTTCATCCCATACTGGTTGCTTCATGGTCACAACGTAGCTGCCACAACTCCAGCCTTCATGTCTGTATTCAAAGCTGGAAACAAAGCGGGGGGGGGGGGACAGTACATAGGCTTTTTTATTCTCATCCTTTTCATCACAAAATCAGAAGATTTTGGGAGTGCCCAGTAGACTTGACTTCACATCCCACTGGCCAGAGTGGCCATGCCAGGCTGCAGGGGAGACCAGACAGCGAGTCTCTGACTTGTTTCAGTTTCTTTTTTTTTTTTTTTAAATTGTTTATTGTCATGTCAGCTAACAAATAGTGTATACAGTGTAGTCGTCTTCAGGAGTAGATTCCCATGATTCATCACTTACATACAACACCCAGTGTTCATCCCAACAAGTGCCCTCTTCAATGCCCATCACCCATTTTCCCCGCCCCCCACCCCCCTACACTTTCCACCCTTCGTTTTTTTTCTCTTCATTTAAAAATCTCTTATGGTTTACCTCCCTCTCTGTTTGTAACTTATTTTTCTTTCCCTTCCCCTATGGTCTTCTGTGAAGTTTCTCAAATTCCACATACGAGTGAAAATATACGATCCCTTTTTCTGACTGACTTATTTCCCTTAGCATCATACCCTCTAGTTCCATCCACCTTGTTGCAAAGATTTCATTCTTTTTCATTGCTGAGTAGTATTCCGTGGTGTGTGTGTGTGTGTGTGTGTGTGTGTGTGTGTGTGTGTATACACAATGTATGTGTATATGCATATATACACATCACATCTTTATCCATTCATCGGTTGATGGACACTTGGGCTCTTTCCATATTTGGCTATTGTTGATTCAGTTTCTTTAGAGGTAAGTGGCCAGACAGAGGGGGTGGATGAGGACCATTGGGTTGGCCAGCCAACAGTGAGGGCGTGCCCAACCCTCCACATTTCCAGTGTAGCCCTTCGTCTTTCCGTGATGGTTCTTTCCCCTTCTGGGAGAAAGGGTCCGGGCTGTGGTGGGGTTGGTGCTTGCTTTCAGTAAGCTTCCATGACTGGATCCCAGTTTCTTCTTGTCCCATCGACAATGAGCTGAGTATTGGCAGGTTCAAGATTAAGGCAGAATGCCAAGGCTGGTTTTGCAAGTTCCCACGGAACTGCCTCTCCCCAGATAGGGACCCACCTAAGGTCTGAACCGCCTGGCAAAACCAGACTCTCGGTGAAGAAGGAGGCACGCGCGCGTGTGTGTGCGTGCATGTGGGAGTGTGTGTGCACGATGTCTCCCTCTCACCCCATGGGGCTCGGAGCTTCCCAGGGCGGCTCAGTAACTGAGTCCTTGTGTTTTTCAGGTTTGGGGTGATCCACTCGGTGTTCACTAACCTGCTTCTGTGGACCAATGGTGTCCTGAATGAGTCAAAGCACCAACTTAATGAACATAAAGAACGTCTCATCACGCTGGGCTTCGGGAACGTCACAATAGGTGAGTGATAAGAGTTGTCCTGTCCCCGTGCTGGAACCTCTTAGAAGGCTGCAGAGACCAAAAATGTTCAGAGTCGGAGAGGCAGGTTCCAAAGAACGGCAGGGTCCTTCCACCTCAACGTTGGCCAGACAATCATCTGTTGTTGAAAGTCTTTCAAAACCTCCTAAGCCCCTCATTCTGGTTACGTAAGTAGGACGTGCTGAGGGTAATTAATGGTTTCCTCAGTGACTCAGGGACTTGCCGGACCCAAGGGTTATCATTTAGGGTACCATTTCTCATGGTACAGTTTGGTATGGAAGTGAATGTCTTTGTTTACAGCTAGGGAAGATTGGCAGTCATTGTGTTTTTAATTAAGCGTCTATTACCAGTTCTTTCTACTAAAAGTATAGCTTTGAAATACCCAGAGAGGTCTCAGGGTTGTCGTTAATTGGTTTGAGTTCATTTGAAGTGGTTTTTTTTTTTTTTTTTTTTTTTTTTACTCCCTCCGGCTTGCACCTATGGCCCATCCTTATCCCCAACCCCCACCCCCACCCTGCTCCCGTTTGAGAGCCTGCCACACCTCCTTCCAAAGTTCTTTCGCGTTTATGACCTGTCGCTTCTCTATTAGAACAGTGGGGCTGAGAGGAATGTGCAGGGCGGAAATGTGCTGGGAACCGGAGAGCCCAGATTTGGGGATGTTCTCATCACGTCCTGGCTGTGTGACTTTTGGTAACCATTCAACGTCTCTGGGCCTCCCTTTTCTCATTCATAAAGTGAGGGGACCTGAACCAGGTTCCTTCAGGGAGTCCTTTTAGCTTTAATGTATTACTCAGGTACACTTACTGTATGACCCCAGGCCCGTCGCCCAGGGCGACTTTAAAACAGTTTTCTTACCAGGGACACCTGGGTGGCTCAGTTGGTTAAGCATGTGACTCTTGATCTCAGCTCAGGTCACGATTTCACGGTGTGTGAGTTCGAGCCCCACATCGGGCTCTGCACTGACAGTGTGGAGCCTGCTTGGGATTCTCTCTCTCCTTACCAGTGGGGTGGGGATGGTGAAGTCAGGGCACACGCTGTTTCTCCAACCCCCAGCCCCCACTCTCCACCGGCAGCTGACTCTTGGGAAAGTCCTTCTCTCTCGTCAACTCTCGTGTCCTCATTGGTGTCAGTGATAGCAATGAAAACAAAGCAAACTTCCCAAGTGTTTGCTGAGGGCCTGGCACGCTGTTCTAGTCCCTTCGTGTGGCTCATTTAATTCTCAAAACACCGTGGGGTAGTCAGTGTTGACCTTATCATACGGATGAAAACATCAAACCACAGAGAAGTTAAGTAACTAGCCCAAGTCCACACAGTAAGTAAATGATGAAACCCGGATCTGATCTGGCTCCAGGAACCTCTGTGGAAAGATGGAATTAGATTGATCTACAAAGAAAAGACTCTGTCAGCTCTAACATTCCGTTGATCTGAACCTTTCTCCTTGATTTCTTCCCCTGATTTTGCACAGGAGCGCCTTGGGTTACGAGAGGTGGGAAACCAGTTGTGTGGTGAAAAGTGCAGGGTTCTGCAAAAGTGAAGGTGATTTGTGCTGCCACAGGCTTTCCATTTGATTTTATAACTGGTCTCTACAAGTCACGAATTAAGGCAGTGACAAAGTGTAAAGAAAAAAAAAAACCTACAGTAGCACCTACCCAGAAATGCAGTTACATGCTGTTAATTTTAGGTTATTTCTTTGTCGTGTTCTATTTCTTGATCTGTAGTTAAGGCCATAGTGTATATATTCAATCTTTTTATTTTTTTGACTACAGCTACAATAAGAACTAAAACTTGCACGGCAGCTCAAGTGCACATCTGTACATGTGGACGCATATGCCACGAAATAATAACGTTGCTGTATCAGAGACACTTTCAAATTTCTATTGCATCTGGTACCATTCCATTCCATTCTATTCCATGACAAGTCCTTTCTGTTTAAAAAATACATTGGCAGCTACCCACTAAATTGATTTCATAACTGAGTGCTCAGCTGTGATATGTATTTATTTTTTTCATTTAATTAATTTATTTTGAGAAAGAGAGAGAGAGAGAGAGTGCACGCACACAAGCAGAGGAGGGGCAGAGAGAGAGAGAGAGAGAGAGAATCCCAAGCAGGCTCTGTGTTGTCAGCTTGGAGCCCGACGTGGGGCTCGATCCCATGACCATGAGATCATGACCCAAGCCGATATTAAGAGTTGCACACTTAACCAACTGAGCCACCCGGGTGCCCCCTTGTGACATGCATTTTAAAAATTCTGTGTATACAATTTATTCTTACTTGTTTCCATTGTTATGTAACATGATCACTTTCCTGTACCATTAAAACACAACTTCATTACAATTTTTAATGGCAGCCTTCTATGCCATTGTATGAATGTATCAAAATTCGCTTAACAGTTTCTAAATTGTTGGACACTGAAATGTTTCTCTTTTTCTCTCTCCAGTGCGCGCGCACGCGCGCACACACACACACACACACACGATTTTACCTAATGCTTTGATTACACTTTTTGGCTTTGATTACATTTTTGACTCGTCCCTCAACACAGATTGGAATTCTAGGTCTGAGACTACAGCTGCATCATCTTTAAGGCTTCTGTTACATATTTTCTTATTTATGTATAGCACGTGCCCTCCTTGTTGTGAAATCGCTCTTTATACCATTGCCAAGTGCCTTCTGGAAAGTGGTGCCAACTCGTGTGCCAAGCATTGGAGTTTGATGGTTCCCGTCTCACACTACACGTGCTAGTATCCAGTATTCTCAAGAGGAAATGCTTTGCTCATGAGAAGGGGCATTTTCCCTCATAAAGTTACTTAAAAAAATTTTAGGGGCACCTGGGTGGCTCAGTCCATTAAGCATCTGACTCTTGATTTGGGCTCAGGTTATGATGACCTCAGTGTTGTAAATTCAAGCCCCGTGTGGGACTCTGCCCTGGACGTGGAACCTGCTTGGGATTCTCTCTCTCTCCCTCTCCCTCTGCCCCTCCCCTGCTTGTGTGCTCTCTTTCTCTCTCTCAAAAAAAGTCAATAAAAACAAAAAATAATTTAAAAATCACACATGTAAATCATATGCACATAGAAAGTTTAGAGGATACAAGGAAGCAAAACTTGGAGGAAAGTAATACAGTAGACACCTTACACTTACACAGTGTTACATGCCAATGATATCTCCACAAATCCGTGAAGCTGGGGGAAAGAGACACAATAGAACTTTCTTTTACTGGAAAAAAAAAAAAAAAAACCCAGAAAGAAAAACAGAAAGCAAAAAACAAACTTGCCTGCCACTTTCCCACCCAGAAATAACCATTGTTGACATTTAGCTTCTATCTTTCCAGATTTCTTCTATGTGTCTGCCTATCATCTATACATCTATAATTTATAAAAATAGAATTATACTCTCTCCTCCTCAGCGAGCTTCTCTTATGCAAAATCTTGTGGCCATCTGTGCATATTCAGTAAATTTGTATAATACCATTTCTTTTTTTTTTTTAATTTTTTTTTCAACGTTTTTTATTTATTTTTGGGACAGAGAGAGACAGAGCATGAACGGGGGAGGGGCAGAGAGAGAGGGAGACACAGAATCAGAAACAGGCTCCAGGCTCTGAGCCATCAGCCCAGAGCCCGACGCGGGGCTTGAACTCACGGACCGCGAGATCGTGACCTGAGCTGAAGTCGGACGCTCAACCGACTGCGCCACCTAGGCGCCCCTATAATACCATTTCAAAGGGCTGGTGTAGGTACGGATCGATGGGTATAATGTGACTCATGGAGGTAGTGCTCATTGGGGGGTAGTCATGGCCGTCAATTTAGCCACGATATTAAACGCGGTAACAAGGCACAACACAAAGCTTTAATTCAACGGGAACACCCACGCATGACTCCCCAGTGACGCTATCTAGTCATGCTCTTCCACCTGCCCCCTCAACATGCCAACCTCCCTCCCGTGCATTCTCTCTCGCCCCCAGTCTTGGACGACCACACGCCTCCGTGTAACTGCTCGCTCCCGACGCTCTGCTCGGCCATCTCACGCGGGATCTACTACCTCTATCCCTTCAACATAGAGTATCAGATCCTGGCTTCCATGATGCTCTACGTCCTGTGGAAAAACATCGGACGCAAAGTTGACGGCCACCAGCATCAGAGCGTGCGGTTCAAGTTCCGCGGGGTCGTGGCGGGCTCGGTCCTGGGCCTGAGCGCGCTGGCCGCCACGATCGGGGTCGTGGTGGTGTATCTGATTCAGATCGGGCGCTCCAAATCCAAGAGCGAGTCGGCACTCATCATGTTCTACCTGTATGCCATCGCCTTGCTGATACTCATGGGGGCCGCCGGGCTGCTTGGCATCCGGATTTACAGGATAGACCAGAAATCGCTGGATGAGTCCAGAAGCCCGGCCCGCAAACTGGATGCCGACCTCTTGGTGGGCACCGCCTCCAGCTCCTCGCTCATCTCCTGGGGTTCCATCTTGGCCGTGCTCTGTGCCGAAGCCTGCCCCCGCTACACCTGGTTCAACCTGCCCTACTCCGTCCTGATGATTGTTGAGAAATACGTCCAGAACCTCTTCATCATTGAGTCTATCCACCGAGAGCCGGAGACGCTGTCTGAGGACATCAGAACCCTGCGAATGGTCACCGTCTGCGGCGGCAATGCCATGCCCCTCTCGTCTTCCGGCCTCAGGAACGGGGCTGTGGCCGGGGACGCGGCTTCCCCAGGCGGCGAGATGCTCCGCGCGGCCAACGGAAACACGTGTCTGAGAGAAGGCTGTGGCGTAGAGGGGGGCGAGGGGAGTCGGGAAGGGACCCCGGGCCCCGCCTGCCACCCCGGTTTCTTGCAGGGCGACGGCAAGAGGAGCGTCTTGAGGAACATCGCAGCCTTTCTGTTCCTCTGCAATATTTCGGTAACGTGCATTAAGTTATTCACCTTAAACACGATCTATGTTCCTTGCTTTTCTCCCCCCCCCCCCAGAGAAGGAGTGAGGGAAGCTTATTATCAAAATGATGTAAGTGTGGGGTGAAAAAATGAGGCTGGAATGAAGGCGTCTCCTCCACAAACCCACTTACTGAGCACTGCCGTGTGCCAGGGGCTGGGGTCGGGGCTAACGATTGCAGGTGACAAGACCCCCATCTCCGTTGGTCAGCAGCCCTCCCGGGTGAGATCTGTAACAGATCTGCCCCACGGAGGGCAGGGAGAGGCGGAAGGAGGCCACTCCAGCTTTGTAGGTGACGGTTTTAGCTTTTATTTTTTTATTTTTTTATTTATTTTTTGTAGGTGACGGGAACTTACATACGAGGCTTGTCTTTGGCAGCAGCAAGACGAGTGGGGTCCCTGTACCTGCCTGCTAGATGGCAGAAGTCTATATGCAGAGAGAGGCTTAACTGGGTTCGGTCGCACAGGCCGTGCAGGTGTTCTCAACGCCACATCGTTATTTCAGGGCTGTGTCCTTGGAGCAGCTTCTGGGAGCGAAAAGGCCAAGGAGAACCCAGGTTCCAGGGACAAGGGAGGGGGCGGGTGAGGAGCCTGTGAGGGCTCGGGGGGCCGACCGGCGGTCACTTCTTTTGGATGACCTTCCCCAATAACCTCTTCCTCAGAGAGGTCACAGTATAGGGGGGAAGGGACACAAGGAAAACATACGGCGAGTAGGGCAAGTGTTGGCACAGAGTATGTGCAAAGTGTAACGGGAGCATGGATCCAGGGAGGGACTTTAGTGAGTCGGGGATGCTTGAGGTGAGGCCCAGACTCAGGAGAGCTTTTGGCTGCAAAGAACAGAAAGCTTGGCCAGCAGTCTCTTCAGTCTTAAAGATGAGAATCCTGAAGGTTGGCTATTCGGGGTTGGTCCGGCAGCTGAGCCCTTTGATCAAGGATCTAGGTGCTGGTCGTCTTTCCACTCGACCACGCTTTGTGTGGTGCGGACTGCCACGCGGTCACAGAGTGGCTGCAGCAGCACCAAGCATCACATCGGGGCTTGAGACACGAGGAAGGACTAGTGCCAGGCTGCGGCTTTCCCACGGCCACCCCTAGCCGCGAGGGAGGCCGGGGAAGTGGATGGTTTCCAGCCTGCAGCCTCTGATGGCAAGTAGCAACGTGGAAGGCGTATGGTAACTCCGTTTCGGCTGCCCGGGTTCTGAGGAACGGTTGGAGGTTTACCAGGTGGCCAAGGCAAGCACTGAGCGCAGAGGGCGCGCGGTTCAAAGACACAGAGGCGGAAGCCGCCGCGGCCTACTTGGGGAGCAGCAAGGTAGTTCAGCATGAATTCCACACACGTCGGGGAGAGCCGCGGCGGGGGGGGGAAAGAGCAAGAGGCGGGTCTCGCCTGTGGGTCTGGCTTGAGCGGAGCTTCGTCAGCCCGGCCGGGTCTGGTCCTCGTGCTGAGGGCCACAGGGGACCCTCTCGGTTTGTGTCTTGAATGGATCCCCTTAGCAGCGGTGTGCGGGAAGGAGGGAGACAGGCGAGCCCAAGGGCGGGGACACCTGGACGGAAGCCCTGAAGCAGACCAGATGGGAAATGATGGCCCCCTGGCAGGGGGCCAGGGCAGGGCAGTGGCCTGGGGGTACACAGCCAGGGCCGTGGCCGCGGGGATGGAGAGAGGACAAAGGAAGAGAGAGCCCCGTGCCTTGTTGGGATCCGTTCTAGAGATTCACAGTAGGATGGCAGGGCTTGGTGACCAAGGGAGGGGCCAGCTGCCTCTGGCACCACACGGGCCTCGAAATGACCGTGGCTGGCGGGAGGGTGGGGACGCCCCGCCCACGGCGCCTGCCTGTCGTCACGGTCAGCTCTCTGCAGCCACCAGGGCTATGCCGTTTCCCCGTCAGCTCCCTGGCTTTCGAGCTTCCTCCGCCTAGTTTCAGCGGGGGCGTGCCCAGGGACCGCCAATTTTGACGTCACGCCAAGGCCACAACGCTGGGAGGGTCCCTCTGAAGACGAGATGGCCACGTGTCTGCCCATCAAATCTGATTCTTGCTTTGGGCCACCCGGACCTCGGTCCCCCTCCAGCCCGGCAGACGGTTACGAGGAGCTCTGAAGGGAGAAGGGGCCCCAGGCGAGCCTGGGTCCAGGTGGGCCCGCGTCTTTCATGGAATAGACATTTCTGGAGCATGTGCTGGGCACAGCAGGGAATGAAGGAACCGAACGGGAGAGAGAGAGACAGATTAGTGACTGTCGCGGGGCTGCGTTTTATGTGAGGCTTGTATTCCAGAGAGGCATGTATCCACTCAGATCTTTCTTTGCTAATGTTTTTATTTATTTATTTTCTTTTGGGAAAGAGAGAGAGAGAGAGGGGCAGAGAGAGAGGGAGACACAGAATCTGAAGCAGGCTCCACACTGTCAGTGCAGAGCCTGATGCGGGGGTCAAACCCATGAGCCATGAGATCATGACCTGAGCCGAAGTCGGATGCTTAATGGACTGAGCCACCCAGGCACCCTCAGCTTACATCTTACAAAGTCAGAGTTGGTTCCAGAATCCCCCTAATGTGTGTTGTTTTTGTACATACCCAGAGGTAAGAATCTCTCTCTTCTCAGCAAGTTCATAAAAGCCGCTTTCCGCACGGGTTCTTTGCTTGACCGCCGGTGAGGCGCTTGGCTTGTGGTTTCGGACCAGCTCGACCAAGAACCGCGTGGCCATGGTAGACTCTGATGGTAACTGATGGTCTGTTGGGACCCGACAGCCGGACTCAGGGCTCTGTCCTGGGAGGGGGACCCGTGTCATCTCTTCACCTCCGTGCTCCGTCCCCGGTGTCCCCAGGCCCTGCCTCTGTTCACCGGGGAGTGAGCCGGAAGACAGAAATCATCGCGGGGTGATGTCCGGGGGGGCCCTCAGCAGCCCCACGGGCCACACGCGCACCCGCGGTCCATCCCACGGGGCCGTGAAGCCCCTGGCAGAGGGTGAGACTCGTCATCCTCCAGGACCAGGTGCCGGAACAGAGGCCGCAGCCGGAGGTGCTGGTGTGCACGTCCACGGGGACGGCAGCGGCCGTGGGGACAGACGAGGGTGGCGGGCGGGACGGTGGGATTTAGGGAGAAGGGGGAAGGGGGAGGGGACCGTCTGGGCAGAATGACGGGCATGGGGAGGCCGCGGGGAGCGTGTGGACGCATGGCCAAGTAGGGCTTGCGGGACGTGCTCCTGGGGCGGGAACGAGACCCGCCTGGCTGAGCACGACGAGCAAAGGGAGGGACACGAGAGAGGCGCCAGGGTGGACCACGCGGGGTCTCAGCAGCCACAGCCGCAGCCAGGACGGAACCCTGAATGCAGCAGGAAACCGTCGAAGGGTTTTAAGGTAGTGACAGGATGCGATTCGTGCTTTTTCTTTTTTGACTCAGTCGAACCTTTAATTGTAGGCAATACCACGTAACACAAGCGTTTACCATAATATTTACCATTTTAATCATTTTATTTTTTTTTAATTTTATTTATTTATTTTTTAATTTTTTTTTTAATGTTTATTTATCTTTGAGACAGAGAGAGACAGAGCATGAGCGAGGGAGGGGCAGAGAGAGAGAGAGAGAAAGGGAGACACAGAATCTGAAGCAGCTCCAGGCTCTGAGCTGTCCGCACAGAGCCCGACGCGGGGCTTGAACTCACGGACCGTGCGATCGTGACCTGAGCCGAAGTCGGACGCTCAACCAACTGAGCCACCCAGGCACCCCACATTTTATTTTCTTAAAGAGTTGATTGATTGATTGATTTAGAGGGAGCGAGTGGGGAGGGGCAGAGAGAGAGGGAGAGAGAATCCCAGGCAGGCTCTACACTCACCGTCAAGCGCAGAGCCCGACGTGGGGCTCAAACCCACAACCCGCGAGATGGCGACCTGAGCCGAAATGAAGAGTCAGACGCTCAACCCACTGAGCCACCCCGGCGCCCGCCTTCCAACCATTCCAGAGCATACGGTCCAGGAGTGCGAAGGGCGCTCCTCACCACTACCCATCGCTGAAACCTGTTCGCCTCGCGAAACTGAAATTCTGTAACCGGGAAACAAGCCCCTGTTCCTCACCGCCACCCCCCGGCCCCCCGCAACCCCGTCCTACCTCTGGGTTCGACCACACCGTGCAGTTCATGTGAGTCGAGTGTTCACGGAGTGTTTGTCTCTTTGCGACTGGCTTGTCCCACTTAGCGTAATGTCCCCCAACATCAGCCACGTGGTAACGTGTGGAGTGGGGGAGAGATGTCAAGAACAACTCCCCGGTTCTGACCTGAGTTCCCGGGGACACGGTGACACTATTTATGGAGACTGGGGACTCCGAAGGGGCGGCAGGCTCGGGAGGGGCTTGGGGTGGAAGGAAGACCCCGGGTTTAGTACCGGACGCGTCCACTCGTAAGGCGCCTCTGCGACCTCAGGCGGACATCCAAGCAGATGTTTGGGTTTCCTACTGCCGTGTAACAAACGACCCCCAGTGCAGGTCAAAACCAGCAGCTGTTTCATTAGGTCTTACGACCCTGTGGGTTAGAAATTCTGGCAGAGCTTGGCTGGGAAAGTCTCGTCTTCCTTGTGGCATCGACTGAGGCTGGTGGGCGGGCTGGAATCGAGGGCCCAAGGTCTGGTGGCTGGGGTGGGGGTGGCTGAGAGGGCTCAGCTGGGACCCTCGGCTGCAGTGTCTACACACGGGCTCTCCAGCATGGCGGTCTCGGGGTCGGGGGGGCTTCTGAGGTGACGGCTTGGGGCCCAGCGGCCAACCTGCCGAGACTGGAGGTGCCAGTCTCTCGGGGCCTGTGTGGATGTCGCGTGGCATCAGTCCTGCCTGCCACATGCTCTGGGTCAAGCAGTGGCAGCGTCCCCCGGATTCAAGGGAAGGGGACACAGCCCGCCTCCCACTGGCATGAAAAGCAAAAACACTCCACGGCAGATCTAAATATTGGATCTCAGGAAAGAGGGCCAGTCGTCTGTCCTCGCCGTCTCTGCCCACTGTCTTCCTTCCGTTCCTCTCTCTCCTGAAGATATAGCCACCGGCTGGCTACCGAGGGCCAGCGCGGCTGTGAGTGATGCCTTAGGGGGCTTGCGAACCAGAGGTCCGGGCTGGCAGTAAACGGTCAGGCAGGAGACCCCTTCTAGCGAAGCGCCCCCCGCAGAGAACGAGCCGAGAGGGAGCGAGGTCACGCCTGGCACTGTCTCCGATCAGAAGGCCCAGGCGGGTGAGAGGGGCTTCCTCAGGGGGTGACAGGGGCTGGGTGGTGAGTGTTCTGGGAAACAGCCGGGGTCAGGCCCCGGTGCAGGGAGCTTATCTCATTGCAGGAGGAGGATGGTGGGCCATGTGACGGGGACCCAGGGTGTGGGGGACACCTGGGCAGTGGGGTTGGGGGGGCCTGGCGAGGGATCAGCCAGCAGTGGGCTTTATAATCCCGTGTAGGGGGTCGATTTCGTTTTCAGTGGCTGTGAGGGCTGGTGGGAAGGGATGTGGTCTAGCAGAAGAAGGGAGTCTGGCAGCGGAGTGGTGAGCGGGCCCGTCAGGGGCGCCGTGGAAGCCGGATGGTCAGGAGGCCACCGCGGTGGCCTGGGTGACAGGGGACAGCGATGGCCGGGCAGGTGCACGTGGACAGAAACGGGTCCACTGACGCCAGGGCGTCGTGGAGGCACAGTCTTCCGGGCTCGCTGATGGGCTGGCTGGCAGGTGAAGTGTCTTGAGGGAAAGAGGGAACACGAGGGTGATGCCTGGCGTGTGACCGGCCACGAGGAGGAAGATGTCGCGGGTGAGATGGGGGAGTTTGAGACGCAAGTAAGACGCCAAGTAGCCCGTGGGGTCCTCGAGGGCAGATCAGGCGAGTAATTCAGACGTGGGGAGTCATCGGCCCATAGTTGGTGTTTATTTACAGCCAAGGCTGGGTGAGCTCGTTCAGGGGTCGTGTGTGTAGGGGAGGGAAGAGCACCCAGGGGCGAGCCCTCCAGCCAACAGAGAGAGACTGAGCGAAGGAGGAAGCAGGAAGGAGCCGGGAAGAACCAGCCAGGGTGGTTGGAGGCGCCTTAAGGGTCACGGAGCCTGAGGTCACAGTGCGCAGAGATACAGAGGGGACCGTACGGAGAGGCTAGTGAAACGGTGCATCAGTTCCTGCCGCTGTGTAAGGAATTACACAAGCTCGGCAGCTTGAACAACACCTGGTTGTTAATGTTGTGGAGTCTGGAGGTCGGGAATCCCAGCGTGGCTTAGCCGGTGCCTCTGCTCAGCTGACCGCCGGGGGATCTTTCCAAACCCACTTACGTGGCTGTTGGCGGGATTCACTTGCTGGTCGGTTGTTGGGCTGAGGGCGTGAGTTCCTGACCTCCCTCCGCTCCTGGCCGCGGAGCGTCGCCACGGGGCAGGTCACACACAACAGGGCGGCCGGCTTCCTCTCTTGCAGGACTCCCCGGTCCTTCTGCCACCCAATCTCAGAGGTGACGTCTCACGCCTTCTGTCACATTCTGATGTTTGAAGCGAGTCATCAGGCTCAGCCTGACCCAAGGGGAGGGGCTTCCACAAGGACGTGACTCCCAGGAGGTGGCATCGGTGGGGGGGGGGGGGGGGGGGGGGGGGGGGGGGGGGGGGGGGGGTCATCCAAGAGGCTGCCTGCCACCATGCAAGGGTGGAGAAAGTTCCAGAAGTGTGCCATGTAAAAGAGAAGCAGGCCCAGGAGACCGGCTGTAGCAGGGGAGGTGGAGGAGGAGGACCTGGGGCGGGGAGACTGAGGCAGGACCAGTGCGTAGCTTCCGCAAGCGACAGCAACGATAGGTCACTGCTTTAGGTTTTGCAAATATAGTTGCCATTTTATTCTCATGTGAGCCCTCTGTGACAGGTGTCTGTAGTCCCACCCTCCAGCTGAGGAAACTGAGGCTCGGGGAGGTTAAATGGCACTCTGTGAGTGCCCCAAACCCAGGTCCGGCTCCAAAGCAGAGGCTCCTCCCCTAAGCAGGGGGATGTGAGCAAGGCCTGGGCTGTCTCTCCAGGTCAAGCCAGAAAGCCCCACGTGGCTGGGGTCTCCAGGCACCAATGTTGGGCTGTAAAGGCGGGTGTGATAAACGGGTTGACCTCTGCTGTAGGTAAGCCCGGGGGGCTGTGCACATAGGAGCTCCTTCCCAGCCTGGTTAGATCATGGAGGGCTTCCTGGAAGGAGGAGAGTCTCAGGACTTGGAAGAAGGTAGGATTCAGCCGAAGAAGGAAGACAGAGAGCCCTTGATAGAGGGAGAGGCAGGAGCAAAGCCCTGAAGGCTTGGAGGAGAGTCACATCCAGCCTTCGGAGGCTGAAGTGAAGGGCGTGGTGAGGGACGTGGTGGTAGTTAATTGCAATCAAACTCAGTGCCCCGTCACTGAGGGAATCTGGACGTTGTCCTGAAGGCTCCTGGGAGCCACTGGCGCGTGACAAGCAGAGGAATGGCAAGGTCAGATGTGCCCGTTATAAAGATCGCTTCCACAGCAGGGTCAGGGTGGATGGAAGGCGTCTGCTGCAGTTGGGGCGGGGGCATTTGGAGCCACTGTGGCAGTTCAGGCGGGGGATACTGAGGTCCCGACCAAGGTGAGGGCTGTGGGGACAGAGAGAGCCTGGTGGGTGTGAGCAGCATCCACTCGGGAGGGGGCTGAGGAGGCCAGAAGAGTCAGGCAGGCTCGTTGGATTTGGAGACCTCCAGGGGGGACGTTGCAGGGACAGGTGTAACTCTGAGTCCCCGAGTCCCGGCCGGCGCCTGGGGGTCGCGTGGGGCTCCCCAGGCGGCTGCTGGCACGGGCCCCTCTTCTCTTGTAGCTCTGGGTCCCTCCCGCCTTCGGCTGCCGCCCCGAGTACGACAACGGATTAGAGGAGATTGTCTTTGGCTTTGAACCCTGGATCATTGTGGTCAACCTGGCCATGCCTTTTTCTATTTTCTACCGAATGCACGCAGCTGCCTCTCTCTTTGAGGTCTATTGTAAGGTATAGTCTGTGTCCACATCCAAGCCCGAGGAGTGACCTAACAAGAGAATTCACTGGAGCCACCTGCGGATGGCCAGGTTGGGCAAATATCGCCCGACAAACGCACGGAGGGTTGTGTTTGCGGCAATTATTTCCCGTGAGCTGGAATCGTCTATCACCCCGGATGAATGTGAGCGCGTTAGATCAACGTCGATGAGGCGGCTGAGATCTGGTCTCAGGTAGTGAATTCTCACCAAACTCAAATTCTTTTATCTCCCTTTATTTATTTATTATTATTTTTTTTTTTTGAGAGAGAGAGGGAGCACGAGCAGTAGAGGGAGAGAGAATCTTCAGCAGGTTCCGTGCCCAGTGCAGAGCCCGACTTGGAGCCCGACGCGGGGCTCGAGTCCCTGACCGTGAGATCATGACCTGAGCTGAAATCAAGGAGTCTGCCGCTTAACCCACTGAGCCACCCAGCGCCCCTTCTCTCCTTTTAAACGGGATCCTCCGTGTTTTTTTAGAAGAATGTGATCCCAGGTTGGGGGGAAAAACATTATGCGGTTTGTTTTTCATAACAGTTGTTTTCTATCATCACGTTACTGCCTAGAACTCTTCTGACCGGCTGCGTAGTACAATGCTCCTGACGTTTTATCCCTCCCAGAGCTGATCAATGCCGATACAATCGCACTTAGTTTATATTATACTTTCTGAATATGTTTAATTTTTTGAACAAAGTTACGTTTTTCATCTGGATGGAAATTAGTGTACGGAGACCTATTTCTTCCTGGAAATTTCGGCACATTTTTGCGATTTTATTATTATTTATTTTTTTATTTTTATTTTTTTTAATTAAAAAAAATTTTTTTTTTCAACGTTGATTTATTTTTGGGACAGAGAGAGACAGAGCATGAACGGGGGAGGGGCAGAGAGAGAGGGAGACACAGAGTCGGAAACAGGCTCCAGGCTCCGAGCCATCAGCCCAGAGCCCGACGCGGGGCTCGAACTCACGGACCGCGAGATCGTGACCTGGTTGAAGTCGGACGCTTAACCGACTGCGCCACCCAGGCGCCCCACGATTTTATTTTTAAAAAGAAATTTTACTATTCTCTCTCACTGTAAATACATACATGCCTATTACAGAAAACAACATTTTGGAAGAGTAGAGAAAAAACATCACCTAGGACACTACTGTTGGGTTGACGATCACTTTAACACCTTGTTGTATTTCCCAGAGGTGAAATGAGATTCACGGCGTTCTTTTCATTGTCATTATTATGCTTGCCACTGGTGATCTGACATGTCCAATTTTGTATCCATTTCCCCCCCCCCACTTAACAATAGAGCATAAACCTTTCCTCCATGTGGTTTTCGAGGCTTTGGAAACATCATTTTGCTACTGTGTTAAAGTTCATCAGATGCATGTGCCATAGTTAGTCTTCCTATTGTCCGAGTTAGAGTGTTTGTCCTGGTGGGTTTTTTTAAGGGCTTCTGCAAAAATCCACTACCTTTGTAAAGCATTTCCCATAGATCATAATTGCTTCTTTACGATATACACTTAAAATCTGGATGTCTATTCCAAAGGTTGTAAATATTTTAAAGCCTCTTAAGAAATAATGACGTTTGAAAGGCCTTTTTATGTGCTTTGCCATAATTATTTTAAGATCATAATAAAATTAGCTTATTTCCTATAAATACTAACGTCACTATCTTTTCATCTGTGTGTATTTTGTTTGTTTGATAGCACAGGCAAATGGCACGTTAAGAAACACCAATTTTTTTTTTTTTTTTGTTACATGACGAAAATACCTTAAGTTCTAGGGAAAAAAAAAACTAAAGACAACGGGCAGATAGACCGAAAACAAAGTCAAAGATGATCTGTCATACCTTCTATTTAGGGTGGTGGCTTTCAACCTGGTGCCATCCTGTCCCCAAGGGGACGTTTGGCAAAGCGTGGAGACAGTTCTTATCGTTACTGCCATGCGGGCGACAGGTGTCTGGTGGGCAGAGAGCAGGGGTGCAGGTCGGCACCCTACAGTGCACGGCACGGCCCCCACCACAAAGAGTTATCTGGCCCCAAAGGTTCATAGTGCCCAGCATGAGGAACTGTGATCTAGAGTAATTGCTGTTAATTTTCGGTACCTATCAGTACACACACACCTACGTACACGCACACGCAGGCACACACACGTGAATGGGACTGCTTTTATGTATACTGAATTTGCATGTAACTAGCTTTTTTCCCCTCTTAATACACCTGCGTGGTTCTGGACGCTTTTCGTTTCCCCGTGGCATCACGTCTCACACTTGAGCTTACGTAAGAATCATCTGGAGAGCTTGTGAGGACTCCTGCCTTCCCAGCCAGAAGTTCAGGTTCCGTTGGGCTGGAGTGGGGCGCAGGGTGCTTCAAGAAGCGTCTCAGGTGATGCCGTGTCCCTTCCAGAAGCACCTCCTCGAGAGTCCGTGAACCCCGAGTCAAGACTCCTGAACAGCCTCCCGTGACATTGTGTATTCTTCTGCAATGTGACCTCGGGTAGCTCCAGAGCACATTCCATGGAGGGCTGTATCGTTCCTTATGTAGTCAGAACCCGACGTTGGACAGGTAGAGACATTTGACGGTGTGATCCTTTTCTGTTTTTCTTCCTGTTTTGCTTTCTTTTTGCTATTACAAACGACACCGTGGCAAGCATTTTCATGGCTGAGTCTCTGCGCACATGTTGATAAACCACCCTGCATGAGACGAATACCTGTGAATGCCGATCTATTCAGAGGACTTCATTTCGGCTGGCATTCATTTCCCCCGGTGCTGAGCACATCAGTACAGCCCAGGGGCTGTGGGATTAGGGCTCCAGGCGTGGCCACGGGGCACCATCAGAGCAGGAAAAAGCCAGCACAGTCTTGCTGGGCTCAGAGCTTCTGAGACGTGACCTTAAAGATGGACCGCCTCTTGCTCCTAAACAAGCAGAGCTCGCGCCATCAGGATGGCTGTTTGAGCCAGGCAGCTTTGTCCCACAGGTAGCCAAGCGTCTTGACTCGACCCACTTAGGCAGCAAAGCAAATGTATTCCCTTCATACCAAGGCAGCCCACAGAGGACGAACCGGAGTGTGCGATAAACAACTGTCAAGCTCTCAGGGCTAGAGGAAGAGAAATGCAAATTGGAACAGCAATGAGCCATCATTTCCCTTTCATCTGATTGGCAAGGGTTGGCCAAATGCGAAGGACAGAGAATGCAAACAGACCGCTGGCGGAACCGCTGTGGAAGAGCGCGGCCACCAGGGGGCGCCGGTGCCTTTCCGCTGAGTCCTCACCTGTGCTTTTAGGTCAAAGTGAGGGGCGATCCGGTGGGTGAGCAGCAGACTCCAGGGTCCCCAATGAGAGCAGGGGTGCAAAATGCCCCGTCTGTACCCTGTCCACAACTTTGGACTCTCGTGGTGTGTGTCAGGGACGGCTGTCCTCGTTGCCAGGTGAGGGCTGGGTGGGTTCTGAGTTCCCCTAAGGAAGCTAAGAATTAGTTTCAACAGGGGTGTTCCCTCCACCTGCTCCCACCATGTCCGGCTGTCCGTGGGGCATCCTTGTCCCCATCACGAGGCTTTGGAGGAACGTGGCTGGAGGACGTTCCCATGTGTGGAGAGTCCCCCAAATAGAGTGGGTGGAACTTGGTCAGGGAGGGCTGGGGAGGTGGGCGCAGAGGGCAGTTTCACTGGGTCTGATGGGGCATGACAGTAACATTAGCTGCTCCTAAGGGCAGACCCTGGGGCCACAGGGACAGGACAGGGAAAGAACGAGGGCAGCGTTTTGTTTTTTTTAATTTTTTAAATGTTTATTTGTTAAAAAAAATTTTTTTTTAATGTTTATTTATTTTTGAGAGAGAGAGAGAGAGACAGAATGTGAGCCAGGGAGGGTCAGAGAGAGAAGGAGACACAGAATCCGAAGCAGGCTCCAGACTCTGAGCAGTCAGCACAGAGCCTGACACGGGGCTCGAACCCACGAACGGTGAGATCATGACCCGAGCCACAGTCGGACGCCCAACCGACTGAGCCACCCAGGTGCCCCAACGTGTATTTATTTTTGAGAGACTGCGAGAGACAGGGCACAAGCAGGGGAGGGGCAGAGAGAGAGAGAGAGAGAGAGAGAGAGAGGGAGGGAGACACAGAATCCAAAGCAGGCTCCAGGCTCTGAACGGTCAGCAGAGAGCCCGGCGCGGGGCTCAAACCCATGAACCGTGAGATCGTGACCTGAGCGGAAGTCGGACACTTAACTGATCCACCCCGGTGCCCCGAGGGCAGTGTTTTAATGCTCAAAAAGGGTGATAATTTTGGTCCGGTGTTTCAGCCACATTAATAACATAAGAAACACCACAACGATGATAGTAAAATGTTCATTGTCTCAAAAATGTAAATCAAGTCACCTGCCTAAACTCTTCATTGGTTTCCTGTTGCTTTTAGAAGAAAGTACAAACTCCTGACTGTGGTCTGTTGGGATCTTCACAGTCTGGCCTCTGCTACTTTGTCTTCTTCTTATCCTGTCCCCTCCTCTGCCCCCCCCCGCCCCCACCCCCCCGGGTGCCCCCACCTGCACTGTTGCAGCCACATACAGCTGTCCCGCCTTGGACACTGCAGACTCCTCTGTTCCTCAGGACCTTTGCACGTGCTAATCTCGCTCTCAGGAGAGGGCTTCTCTGGCTCCTTGAAACAGATGGGCCTCTTTTCATCCCTCAGGCCATGTGTAGAGGTCCCTCCGCTGGGGGGGTCGCCCCGGACATCTGCCTGAACACATCGCCCGTTACGCTTCACCTTGGCTGCATTACCATTAGTCGTTTGTTTATGCATGTGTGCTTATCCGTCCTGGACACAGCTGTCTGCCTTGTGAGGGTAGAGGCTTAACCTCCTTCTCCCTCAGGCCTCACCACGAGGGCTGCCGCCCTCACAATCCAGACTATTGCAGGGCATGGGGAAGCGCCCGGAGCTCGGCGGGCTGTCAGGACTGGCGTTTTTCCAGAAATAGTTTTTCAGGCCTTGGCAGACATTCT